TTTTTTTTTTGATAATAGCATATATGACACAATTGGATTTAGGAAAAATAAAGTAATGAAATTCAAGAATATCATCTATCCTCCCGCCCTCTTATAAAAATTTCACGAATAACCATCTGTTTTACTCATTTTCACCGCACAACTAACCTGGCTGCTCGCCATTTTCTTGTAAACGTTGTTCCCGCTTTTGTTTTTCTTGCAAAAGCATTAACTTCTCTTTGACACTTGTTGCACAAAGCACTCGGTTATTTAAATTCATTTTCAGACGCGCTGTACATCCATACGGCATTGATGAATTCCTAAAAACAATAAAAATCATCCTTTACTGAGGATGAAAATTCGTCCACTTCTCTCCCTTTTCAAATAAGGCATAGGTCAAAAAAATAAAGGAAAAACTGAGCAATTAGAGAACCAATCGATATCTACTGGAAATAAACATCAAATTCTTCCAGTAGTCCGCTATTAATTGATAATGTTCAAATGTTTAGCACACTTTATCAATCAATCATTTCATTAAGTCAGGTATACCTTGTCTCTGAGAAGTGATAATTGATGGTGCTTTTCAAAACTTTCTGTACATATTCATGCAACACGCTGACCGATGTTTTCCCTTGTGGATTAAGGAAAAATCCACGATGTTGTGGTTTCAGATTTGCTTCCAGCGCAGGTACAGTAATTAATTTCACATTTGAAGGTAATGCTGTAAAAATTAAAACTTATTCTTCCATCAGTAAACTAGAATGGACTATTACGGTGATGGAAACATGAATTTCAAGTAGTTAAGGAATGGTAGACGACGAATTTACTTTTTTAATCAATTTCATAAATATTGTGGAGTTAATTCCAACAAAATATCGTATTTATTGTTCAAAACAATCAATAAAAATTGAGGATACGTAGGAATGCGATATAAACCAAGATCAGTGCAACAGTTATGTTGATGCCAACATAGGTTTTAAACAATAATAGGATGGCAGACCAATTTTTACAAATTAGAAAACGACTGCAGCTAGTTTTTAGAAAAACTTCATTCGATTTTACTTGCAATAGATGTATGCATTTTCATAGTTCTTCGTAAACCAAATTTAAAAAAGACGGATTCTTACCGGGACGACCAACCGAAAGCTCAATGGAGGATGCATTTTTTCCAAGTCTTCCAGCTTCGGCAAGTTTCCGTTGCCGATGAAAGTTACGCGTTGCAGCCCATTTATTGAATCGATATGTCTTAAAAGAAAAGTGTAATCAAAAGTTGATAGTAAAACATGCTAATAACGTGCAACTGTGTTGAAAGTTACCTGAATTTTTTTAAATTTAAATACAGCTTTTGCATAATCGTGTAATGCTTCTGCATCCAGCTGGCGTTCCTTGAAATCTTCAGCAGTCTGAAATTTTGGAAAATTTTCGTATTTAAACAGAAAGGAAAAGTCCCATGGTTTTCCTTTCGTTTCCGCGATATTTCCATTTAACTTCATTTGCGCATTGTGTCTTTCCAAGTAAGAATTTTTCCATTTAATTTTCTAACCACACGTAAGATTGTGGGGAAAAGGTTTTAGTAGCCAAGAAAAATACCTCATCATTACCAGGGATAAAAAAAAGTTCCCTAGTGCTTTATAACATTTAAACAACAATTAAATATCAAACAGGGTCGACATTTAAAGCTGCTTCATTATTTGTCGGAATGATAATTGGTAAGTTGTCAGTCAAAAAACTTACAAGGGCTTAGAAGAAAAAATATAACTTAAAGCGAATTTTTCAAGATTTGACACACTTACCTGAACCTTCGTACCTGGTGCTTGTAGTCGTGCCATTACTAATGCGGAATCTTCAAGGGTACTATCACCATTTTGTACACCGACCGATTCGGAAAGTGCATTTTGCAGTGCAGCTGCACTTGCTGCAGCGCCCTCTTCTATTTCTTTAAGTACTCGTCGCTGATGCAAGCATGGTATAGCGGAAACTGGCACATTATGATGTCGAACACTGCCTGGACCAATGAAATATGGCCGTGAGAATGTACAAACCCGTGTAGATTTATGCTAAAAAATAAGATGACTTTAAAGATGAATCTCTTCCTCATAACCAATGTCTCCAAATCTAATTTATTGTGCAAAAGTAGACAACTTAATCGCTAACCGAAACAACAAGCGGATACTTAAGTTTGGTGTTAAGTCTTATTGAAGCACAAGCGCATTATTTCCTGATGAAACTCTGAGTTATATCGATTGAGGCATGCTCCAATTGTATTATTTACAGAAAAAATAAGATGAACAGCAATTATAATGCATTTAAAAACTAAATGATACAAATTTATTATTAACGACGAATATTCGGCAGTAGCACCGGAGATAAAAGCTGACCAAATAAATGGGTAGCCCACTACTGTGAGTCACCTCCACCCATCCTTCCGGTAATACGTCGAAATAATCTGTTCCACGATATGCCAAGACTATTTTCTCTCGCACTTCACCATCCTCCGGCATAATCACTTTACCCGTTTGAGCATCTTCTACCGGTTTCTCCAGCAATAGGTCGATATCTTCACCATCATCTTCGTCACTACAAACACTTTCAAAAAAAAAGTTCATTATTTGGAGATACGATTTTAGAAATGAAAAGTAAGGATTTATTCGAATTAAAATAAGTAAAACACAAATGTAATAAAGAATTCTAATAACTGAATTGAAGAATGATACATATCTTAAGCAATGATAATATAACTTACAATAGGTAGACATCTTTCCCATCTTTGTTATTTCGTTCGTCTATTCCACTTAATTCACCGCCACTATCTTCATCTGGAAAAGGTGTTAATAGTTCAAAAAGGAATTAATTTTATAAGATGATTAATCCAATTACTTCATTAACATTATTTCCAGCAGTCCAGTTTGAAGATTCCAAAGTTGATACGGTGTAAAAAATGCAACGCTTAGTAATGTGGAAGCATAAAAGAAATAATATTATCTCTTTAAAAAATGAGAAAACATTATCATTGGCTAAAGAAGGTGGAATGCTCAAATCATCACATTTTAACCAGTAAATAGTCCAAAGAGACTATTTCAACACTTGAATCATAAGTCACATCTTTTTTAGACTAGGGCAATTGCAAGAACAAGATAAGCTGCATAAAATAATTACAATTCCACTACGTGGAAAAAACAACTATAGACTCTGGTAACAGATCAGGACAATTCTAGTAACTAAAACATCTATAAAGCAGTTCCAATTCATCCGATAACTGAAATATTTACCTGGTCGTGATAAGCTTCTACTCCGCCCTTCAGGTTCCTCCGATTGCTGCTCTTCCAGTAATGCAGTCTCATTATTTGTTAAGTTCATTTCATTTGACGGCAAAAATTGGCATAGTGGTGGTGGCGGTGGTAATGATGGTGCGGGAAGAGGTGGAGGTGGTGGCGGTGGTAGAGGCACTAATTTTTCAGGAAAAATGGTAAAACTGTTTTCGGTAATCTTTGATGAGACGGCATTTCCTGTCTGGACAATAACAGCGCTGCTTCCTTCGTCCTGAAATTTTATTTCAGAAAAACCGAACAAAATTATTAAGAATCAAAAATCAAAACGAACTGAATTAATATGAAAAAATGATCGAAAACAGAAGTTTTTCCCAAAATTAGGATCCAAGTAATGGATATCAAAATTCCGACCCAAAACGTCTGCAAAAATAAATGATCGACGGAATGTGCTGAGACTGTTTGAGATCCCTTATTTGTTTCTCTTTTTCTTCCGTGCCTTCTTTTGACCCTCATATCAGGAATTAAAATGAACTGAATTGTTTCAA